AATAAATAAAATTAGTAATCAAATTAATTACCAAAATAAGAAAAGAAAATAAAACAATAAATCAAAAAAATTAGTCAGCTCACCTTAGCCGCGATGACGAGACGCTCGGTTCCGTCCAGTTCTTAGCTAACCGATCGAATCTAAGAAAAAAGAAAATAAATATTAAAATTTTAAATAAAAAAACATTTAAAAAAAAAAATAAATAAATAAAAGAAAAAAAAAAATTCGACAGCTTACCTTCGCCGCGGGTGACGGACCGGTCGGTTCCGTTCGACCAGTTTCAGGTATATCATTAAATATTTATTAGAAAAAGGATCAATTGAATTAAAGTTTTAATAATTAAAATTTTTATTCATTAGAAAATATTTCGAAAGAACTAGAATTTGATTTGCAAGGTATTATAATATATTAAGTTAATTTAGATGTGAATTCAACAACCTCAAATGCTCAGCATAGAGTGTGGTTATACAAGTCAATTAAATTCATTTATTCCATCTGAAAATTTAAAGAAGCGTGATATTAAAGAATTAGAAATCAACACTCAAGTAAATAGTAAGTTTGAATTTTATTAATAATTCACATGACCGCTAAATTGATTGTTTTTATTAAAATAAACTTGAAAACATGTTAAAATAGGTGATAATTTAATTTCGAAACCTCTAAATATAGATTTTGCAGGATGTGATTACTGATTTTATTTTAATTTACGAATGTGTGTATCGTATCTTACAATGTAGTTCTTTTGCTCGATGATCTTATAGTTAGCTAGATTTTTATAATTACTTTTTAATAATTAAATGAATTATCATAGATTATTCTTTGGCAATTTGGATGCAAATTGGTTGGGTTGTACAACAAATATTGATAAAAATAATATCGGTACTGAATCTAACCATAAGTCCTATTCTCGTCAAGTTGTTCAAGTGTCCTAATTATCGATCTTGCGCCTCTCACACAGATGAATCATAATATTTTGTTAAATTATCGCATAAAACACTCTTCAGAAAGATTCTTTGAAATAATTTGGTATTTTGAATTCAGGATAACAACGGATAATAAAATCTGCATTAAAAGTAATAATGAATCACTGAGCATTAGATAGCCCAAAATTTTAATATTTTATAGTCTCTTTTATCGCTAATAAATTCAAAAGGCAATACGATGTGGAATACATGTATTTTATTTAATTTAAACTTTTATTTTAATTCAAACCTTATTTTCTCGATGAATCTTGTCAATGTTAACAGAAATCAGATCATTATTTTTCGGTTCGGTGATACTTTGAAACACCTGATTAAAATAAATAAATATGGCAATAATTTTGCAATAAAATACCGTCATCAACATGTTTTTCACGAAGTAAATTGAAAGCAACGATGTTATGGTATGTTATATACCTTTTTTTCGATAGAAGTTCCCTTTTAATAAATTTAATTTTTTACTGAATTATTTTTTTTAAAAAATAAAAAAATTTTCAACGTATATTATCTAGATTTTATTATATGATCTCTTTTCGTATGTCAATCAATTACAAGAATCGAAATTTAAAAATAAGAAGATGTCAAGAATTTATTGATTAAAATACAAAGGAAACTATCTCAGTCGGGGATCTGTAATAGGCCTTTTTGAGAAGTTCGGTTGTGACGATAGAAGAATCGGGTGATAACCTTACAAAAATGGAAAAGGAATCAACTTAGGCTGACGTGAGAGCCTATTCCTTTATTCCTTTACGGAGCTTGTTATAAATATTAAATAAAAATATAATTGTTACTTTCAAATATTAATTAAGGCCGTCCGCTGGCCGGCCATGATAATAAATCTAGTTTTTTAGTTTAAAATTTTTAATTAAAGTGTAATTCAAATTGTTTTTTAATTTATTCGATTTATTGATTTTTTAATAAATTTTTTTTAATGATATTTTGTGACATGATAAAATAATATATTAATTTATTATGTCAAAATAAAAAAATTCTTTTTTGTTTTGGCTGTAAGTGATTAATCAGTTAGTTGATTTATTAATTTGGAAGTATTTGATTTTTTATATTTAATTATTAAAAAAATAATAGATTTTTTTTATTGTTAAAAAGAACTAAAATAATATCTGACATAAGAATAAACTACCAGAATATCAATATGTAAAAAAAGAAAAGATATATAGTGAAAAAAAAGATTAGAAATTTTACGCCAACTTTTATTTATGGTGGGAAAAAAGGTTATTTTTTTTATTTTTTTCATCGCAGATCTTAACTTGAATGATCTTGAAGTTTTTTCAGTAGCATTATTTTGATATTCATCTTTGACATGATTTTCTTCGTAATTATCATCATCTTTTCTTTTTGGATTTTCCAGTTCACTTTTTATTTCTTCTATTTTAATTTGTGATTTTTGATCAGTTTTAATTGATTTTTTAATTTTTTTTGATTCTGTTTTGTAGTTCATTAAATCTTGATTATGTCATTTTTTATTATCTATAGTTTGTTCTAAGGATGGTATGCTACTTTTATTTCCTAAGAATATATTATTCCATTCAATATAATTCGTTACAATATGTATCATATTATCTCCCTTATGCAATTCGCCGCAGATAGAGATTATTGCTTTAGATTCAATTGCTCTTGTGACACCAGTATATATAGGATTAGCAGCATCATATGAACATGCGACTTCTAATGTTAGATAATTAAAAGTCATTGGATTATATGCCCTTCGTTCTAAGTAGAGTAAGAAATTGAATTTTTATTAATTTCTGAAGATTTGTATGGAGCTGAGTAGATTCCGAAAGCTGGAGATATTGGAAGATCTTTTATTGATGGTTCATTTTCAATGGCTTTTAGATCCAAAGATGTCGCTTGACCTTTTTCATATTTTTTTTTAGATTAATTGAATTAGAAAAAAAAATAAAAGTTAAAAAAAGAAATTTTTTTTTAATTTAATTAGTATAATTATTTGAAAATATAATAAATATATATTTACGTTAAGTTCAGAATTTTCTAGGATGAATTTACCTATAATTAGCATAATTTTATTTCGCTCAATTTGATTAATATGATTATTAGCAAAGGTAAATGCTTTGTAGTTGTAGCTTACGAATTCATCTTCGTCGCTTCTGTATGTAGCAATTCCTGTTAGTGTTACATTACCAGAAGTTGTTTCAATAAGGAAAATGGCGGCAAATATAGATGTCATTATTCTTTTTTTTTTGTGTTTTTTTCTTTTCATCCTTTTTTTTATAGCTTATAAATAACAGAGTATACATTTTTTGTTTATTTTTTATATTTTTAGTTTGAGAAAATTTTTAGTTCGAGAAGAAAAAAAATAAAATTACAAAAGTTTTAGATCATAAATAAATTTAGTTAAAATTTTTGTTGATTCGGGATCTTATCTGATTTTTGCATAGATAGCGCATTATCTGTATTGTCCTATTTGTTGTTTATTTTAGTCTTGTTTTTTAGTCATATTATCGAACGAAAAACTCTTTTTTTATCTTTCGTGTATATAAAAAAAAAAATAACAAAAAAAAAAAATTTAATTTTAATTTTTTCTAGATCATTATCTATTTTATTTTTTTTAATAAATTATTTATAAATTTTAAATAAGAGTAATAATAAGGTAAGAATAAATTAAATTTAAATAAAATAATGGTAACCGCAGTATATTTCGTTAATCATTTGGATGTAGGAGCGGAAGAATGTTTTTTTTTATAGTAACTGCCCTTTTTTTTTTAGCTTCTTTCTTCCAAAAAAAATCGTTTTTTAATACTGATGTTTTTTCTGGATCATGATCATTTTCTTTCTCGTACTACCGATCCATAACAAATATAGAAAAAGAATATCTCGGCCAAATATTTGATTATCCGATCATTCAATCATTTTTCAGATAAGGTTTCTCAAAACTCGAGCCATTGTTTACATGCTTAATCTTTGATAAAACATCAACTAAATAAAGAATTTTTAAAAGAAACGATTCATGCAATTTTTACAGCCTGCATAATCTAACTTTAGATTTTGCTTTGTATTTTCCGTAATGAGCGACATGTAGTACGACCACTTTTATAAATCGTAATTTTATATTTAATTTTCGATTAATTATTTTTAAGTTCATATAGAGAAAACAACAATGTAAACAAACTAAATTTATTTTATTTTTATGTGTTAATATATTTATATTTTAAACTTAAGGTTGATAGATCTAAATTATACGCAAAAAATTTTTTATGATTCGAACGTGTTACAATTTAATTTCTTTTTTTTTTTTTTTTTTTTTTTTATATAAATTTACGCCAAAAAACATTATTTTCCTATTTTCACTGTAAAATGAAATCAATTTTATTTTTTTCATTGATATATAATTATTAATTTATTATAATTATTATTTTTTTTGTTCGTGTTTATTTTTAATCATTATAAGTTCATTGTTAATCGAAATTTTTTTTTTATTAAAAAATTTGGCAACACTCACCCATTGCATTAATATCTTTTATACAATCAAATGGCAGAAATGGCAAAGACTATATTAGCACTTTACAAGATTATACCTCAATACGTTCTTGGTAGTCTCCCGGCCATTGCAATTATGGGAGATTCCCCCTATATTGAATTTCGTGCAAAGTTTATGTGGTTGCTTAGGTGTCTTGGATGCCCTTTTGATGGACTCTTTCATTCCCTCAACGTTGGAGGTAATGAAGTATCCCGCTGCATATACTGGCTTTCAGAATATAACTTTACGGTCGTGGAGCACACAAATAACGAAGAAGAAACAAACGACAAAGAAGTCACAAAAGGAACAGATCGTCATCCAAAATACAGACCTTTTGGATTTCATGCAATGAAACTAAATATAGAGAAAAATAAGCATATAAATGAATATGTGGAACGATGCACGGCAAAAGCATCCGTGCTAGAAAGATTATCTTCATTGGTTTCAGCATATTACATAATGGTCGGTTTAGTTGCAGGATTTTCCATGGTTCAAGGAGAAATAGTTTGTGAAGGTTGGGCATATTTACCATTATTATTGTCTTGGACAATTCCAGCAATTTGGAGAAGAGGATTTTACGGGATTCTAATAGTCAAAGATCCTAGCGAAGTTTTTGACAAGATACAAATTATTGTGGATAACGATCCTAAAGATAAACTGAAATTTCATAAACGTGCAACCGTTACGTTAACTGCTTTATTATCAATAGTTTATCCTTGGGTGACAGTACTTATCGTCTACTTTACACCCCCGGTTGGATATTTTTGTCGCAGCAAATATGTAACAGTAATCACCTCCATCTGGTCATTTAACAGTGCTTTGGCCTATTTTTGGCATATAAAAGGAGAAAGTGATTTAATCATGTCTGGGGAAGGGTTCTTACATGTTTGGTTTTCCACGTGTGGTTTTATAGTGGCATATCTCTTGTTATTTCTAGGCATCTTTACCGGGTATAATACATTGTGGGTTGATTTATTCGGGGATGCTTGTGATTTATCGAACATAGGATGCTATTGAAACTTTTTTCCTTGGATTCAAATTAAAGGGTCGAAAAACTGAGGAGAAAATTTTGCCGGAGCCCTGGGAATTTACAATCAGAATCTTAAGTAAATTTGTATATTTTGTATATTTATATCGCAGATTTATATATTTTGTATTATAATTATCTCTATTTATCTGCAATTTGTAAAATAAAAACTGTATACCTTCAATCTATCAAAAATATAATAAGCAACGTTGCATAATCATATGATTCACTTACCAAATTTTGTGATCATTATTTTTTTTAACACTATATAACCATATAGTTGTTGGTGTCAGGTGATTCTATTTTATGACCGTTCCCAATAAATAATAATAGTGGGAATAATAAATAAAAGAACAATGCATTAAATAAATAATTTTAGGTCACCTGTTTTCGCCACCGATCAAAAATTCTTTCAGAAATTCGGTCTGATCTAACCTAAAACCGCTTAAGAAAAAAAAAAATCAAATAAATGGATAAAATAAAAAAAATTAGTAATCAGAACTAATTATCAAAATAAGAAAAGAAAAAATCAATAATCAAAAAAAAATTAGTCAGCTTACCTTTGTGACGAACCGGACGGGTTCCGTTTTAAAATTTTGGCTTAAGATAGGGAACCGATCTAACCTAAAATAAAATCAATAAATCAAAAAAAAAAAAAAATTTTAGTCAGCCTACCATTTCGATCGAAAAAAAAAATCGCCAAAAATTTAGAAAAAAATAAAAATAAAAAATCGCAATCGCGATATAAAAAATAAAAAATAAAAAAAATGAAAAAGACCAGGGGAAATAAAGAAGAAAAAAATAAAAGAAAATATATTAAAAAAAAAATAATAAAAAAAGAAAGAAACCCGAAAATCAAAATCAAAAAAATCACGATGATAAAAAATTAAGCATTAAAAAAATAATTAAAAATTAAAATCAAAATTAAAATCAAAAATTTATTAAAAAACATCGCGCGCTATTATCAAACCAAATTAAAAATTAAATAAAATATTAGGGCCGACCCCTGGTCGGTAATGACCATGAATCTAGTTGATAAAGATAAAAATTAGTTAAATATATAGCATAAAGAATGTTAGATTATTATTTTTTTATTTAATTATATTTGTTTTTACAAGACCATTCACTAAATTAATGATAATTTTATATTTTTAAGTATAAGAATAATTTTAAGATTTAATTTTAAGCCACGTAAATGATACATTGTAAGTAGGTTATTCTTCAAATATAATTAATAGCATACGAGAGACGTTCTTAATTTTCAAAATTCAATTTTGCTTTATTTATTTGTTATTAACAACCTTACCCAATTTCACTAATTAATTATTTTGACTCGAATAAATATTTATTTTTTTACATATTTTTATGATAACCTTAATAAAGATAGTTATCATGCCATATAAAGTTTCAATTAATTCGGGTAAGAAAATATAATAGAAATAGTTTTTAACGATATAAAATTTATATTAAAAAAAAATATTTTTTAATTTTTTTTTCGAATTTGGTCACATATGTTCAAGAGAAATACCGTAAAATATCCATAATATGAATTTACTGTAATAGCAGCCCGCCGTATAAAGTAACTAATGTTTCTCGCTTTAATAAAAAATATTAATATTTTTATAGATAAATAGTTAAATAGTGCTAAAATTTGATATACGTTGACTTGTTTTTCAAAATTTGAAATACTTCATAATCTTCGTTTAAGAAGTAATTTTTTGTATCTCTTATCTCCTTCTCATAATCAGTTAAGTTACAATAATTACAACTATAACTTTTATCATCTGAAAACATAGGACTTAAACAAAGGTCATCACTAAAGGAGGGACCACGCCAATAGATATTATAAATTTCATGATCTATATTTTCACCTTGCTTAAAATTGAAGCCTTAAAATTATCTTTATGCTTGAAAGAGAATATAAAGCTATATTTAGTATATTCTTTTAGTAGGCTATTGGATTTCTTCCATATTTAAGGATTTAAATCCTCAAAGAATTTCTTTCGTTCCTTTCACTTTAATGAATGTAACCGCATAAGGTTTATTATCACATAATTCATGAAATTTTTCAGGAGAAAATCCATCTTTGCTCCCTCTTAATAATAATTTAAATTTGTATGGCAAATGCAATTCTCTTACATAATCAAATTTGCCTTTAATTTCCACCTTGTCGATCCATCTTGAAATTATGGAGACTATATTTAAATTAACAATTTTTGTATCATCAATTTCTTTATTTCTAGGGAATAAAATACTATCGCTTGGTATACTATTAGAATCCAAATAAGAATTTATTAAATTCTCATAAAGGTGAGATTTTAAAGCTTTTTATATGGTCGAACTTTTTGGGCGAACTCGTCAGAAGAGAAGCTAAAGAATTCAATTAAGGGTAAACAATTTTGAAATCATCATCTGACCAAGTTATAGGATCTGGAATGAGTGTAGGATTTTTCGCAAGACCCCACGTTATTACACGTTTCCAAATACCAACTTCTTTCATTTGTAAATCGTCTCTTTTAATAAGTGAAATTAATGACTTTTCTGAAATCGAAGTAAAATCAAGTGATTTGAATACTCTTTTAGAAATAATATCTGTACATATTTGTTGAAGCTCTGATAAAACATTGGATTGGAAGCTTATTCGATATTTCTCCAACTTCGATTGTAATATCATAATAATATTCGTCGTCTTCTAATATTTCCAAATAATTTTGACTTAATTTGGGAAAAATTCGTAAAGACAATCTTATAATTTGGAGAAAAAAAAAATATTAAATTTTTTTATAAATTTTATTTTGATCGGAAATGAGCTTGTCCTTATAAAGTTCGATCCGTAATAAAAACAAAAATTTTGATTTGTCAAATCATAATTCCAAATGGGAGCTTGATAGTAATTTAAAGAATATATGAATTCATATTCTAAGTATACAACGTTAATTTAAGGTTTACAACTTTTAGAATTGTAAACTAAATTATTGACAGTTTAACATATCATAATTTTTTTTCGTCGATTATTCACTGCGCAGTATGAACGATTTCTATAATTCTGAAAATTTATGTATCTGAATCTAATATTCGTCATTTCCTCTAAGTGAACTTCGTGCAATGAGAAAAAGGAGAAAATTGATAAATAGAAGAGTGCCTTTTCTATTCATCATCTATAACCTTTGCGAATTACTATAATTTTCTGTGAATAATCAGGATAAAAGGAATTCAACTATTCAAAGAATGAATTTGAAAAATTGATATTTCTTAAAACTGACATTATATTTAACCAGAAATTTGGTTATTTATTTTTTACATAAATCCGTACAAAGACGGTACATCAAAGCATATTAAATATTTTGTCGCAAATTTTAGAAATGACATCGTATCCAAAAGTTTCCAAAAATAAATGGTACGTTATTAGGAACTAATTTAGAACTTTTTATTCATAAGGAAAAAAACTAAAATTTAAATGAATTTGTCACAAGCAACTTCATTTAAAAATATTATGCGAGGATATTAAAAGATAAATGGATATTGATAAATAGTTGGCTTAAAGTAAATATAAAATTTATTCTTGTGAAGTTTTAGTATTTATATATTAAAAATTTTTTAATGACAAATATACAATAATTTTATGTTAAATAATATTATATTATTTTTAAATATTTTCTCAAACATAGAAATGATTTCTTTTCTTCCAGCGATCATTCACCCTAACTGATGACGAAAATCAAACTTCATTGTTAATTTAATATGAGAGGATAATGACCTTCCAAGTCAATGATTCATATAATCTTAGAGTTTAATTTCTTGCGAAGCTGCAATTAAGAATCAAAAAATTTAGTTATATTTATATTGTAGTGCATGATTTATTATTTGTTTTTGGAATTTTTTATTCTTATTCAAATGATATAGATAATCATTTAATATTGCAAAAAGAAAAATTCATACTAATATCAATAAAAACAATAATTTTACTTTATCCCATCGGTATTATGTATATACAGGTATAATTTTTCGTTACTTACTACACGGGTTTATAATAAGTATATAAATACTAATATTAATAAATTTATATTAAAGCAATGCATATTTATTATATTAATTTTATACAATTAGTAAATAATACAAAATAATAATGAATATGAAAATGCACATCTGTGACTGAATTAGGAATAGATATCTTTGAAAATTCTGATTGTAATTTTCTTTTTTTGTATGTTGAATTGGAAACATCTTTTAATGCTTATCTTTTTTTTACTATTTTTAAAAAATAAATAGTTAAAATTAAAATGTAAGAATAATGAAAGAATGAATTACAAATGATTTACTTTCATTATTTATATGAATTTCATTGTTTGAATCACAATTTTTATTGGAAATTTCTTCAGAATCTATCAAACTTTTTATTAGACTTAATCTTTATTATTATTTAATTCCTCGCCTTGTTTATTATCAAACATTTCTTGTTCTTCATTTGTTTCTAAAATTAAGATCATTATATTAATTATTTAAAAAATTTAAAACATAACATTTAACTTGCTATTACCTGAACAATCTGAATCATTTTATTATTTAAATTAACCCATGAATATCCAGAATAGTATTCAAATTCTTCAACTTCAATATCTTCAAAATCTAAAGGTATTATACTAACAGTATTTTAAAATTTTTAGCTTCAGATGAACTTTTATAAGTTCTTACTCCTTTTTATGATCTATGGCCAGAAAATTTCATAATTTTGTCTTCTGGAATATCTTTATCTTTTAGCTGTTCTATGATAATTATGGTTAACAATTTTTTGATTATCAGTTAAATCAATACCTGTTAAGTAGCAAATTGATGTAACATCTTTCCTAATTTATTTTATCCTATTCAGACATTTTTATACCAGATTCCTTTACTAATTAAATATCTTGCAATTGATACATAACTATTATATACAGATTTCGCCTTATAGTTTTGACCATATAATTTTTTAAGCTATGTAATAAAAATTCTT